CAAGGGATTGCCCAAGAATCAGTGACAAATTGGATTATTGTCCTGACTTGAGGCCAGTCAGTCAGTGACTTAAGCTGAGGTCATTATTACTATTACAGCACTTCACCGCTAGCCCCAAATGCATTTCCTTCCCTGCAGCAAAATGTTTTGGATCTTTATTTTCTTATACTGGAGCAGTTCATTTGACCTGTGCTGTTGCTTCTATACAAGGCATTTCAGAAGCTGGGTTCTTATCTATAAACCTGCTGAAATCAGTGTACACTTAATGGTCAGTACAGTGGCCAGCCACACTGAAGTCTTCAGAGATGTGCTCATGTTGAGGTGCATATCTTTTTTGTGTGCATGTACACATGCTTTGGGACAAGGTGCCATTAGCTCTATTCTGCTGCCTGAAGAAGGTCATTAGCATCGAGTTGGTGTTGCTTTCCCTTTATAACACCTCAGCATGCAAGGTGCAAGCATTTCCGAACTTGGTTTGGCTGCAAGGTATCTAGTGGCTTTATCTGCTGTCCATAGGCAGTGCGCAGCTCCTGGACTGGGGGCCTAAAGCTCTTTCTGCAGACCAATGTGTAACGTTAGCAGGAGCCTGTTTGGAACTTGGGTTAAAGTTGTTATCTATTACAGCGACCCTTTGACAGCACACTCAAAACGGAAGGAAATAGGCTAGCGACGTTTCTTAACTATGTAAGTACCTCTGTGTCCTTGTCTGTGAGCTTGAAGTTTGCAGTTCATTCTCATTTAATTTTATAGAAAGATGAGCCTGATGCTTTCAAGCGTTTAGGGACTGGAAATCGCGTGGCCACTTTTTTAAACTATGTAAGTATGACAAATCCACTATCCATTGAGTGAGGCTTTCAGTTGCATTTCCTTTACAATTAACCCATTGCACAAGCTGTAGAGACTCACTAAAAGCTACAGCATCTTGAGTTGGGGGTGTTTGTTGTTCTCACAGCATCAGCTGCTATCGGGTTTCCTTAACCCCATTATAGAAAACCTAATTTGTGTGGGGACCAAATGTTCTTCTCTTGGTTACACTAGTGCAAACTCAGTGGATTTGCACTCGTGTGTAAGGAGAACTTTTTAAAAAATTGATTTTGAAACTGCGGGCTTGGAGGGCTTCAGATACAGTATTCCACTCAGCACTAAATGTTTAGTCAAAGGGTCTCTTATTTTTCTTCAGCCAGGATCTGGTAGCACCTGATGTTGTGGATCCCTTGACAGCCTCTTTATTTTAATTGCCCACTAAAAGCTGGTGTAGTGTAGAGTAGATTATTGCCTTCACAAGAAACAGGGTAACAAAACTGCTAGCTTAATTGAGAAAATGGCAAATAGAGTACTGAAAATGGTAGCATAGTGCATGGTCAGCATGCAGCCAAAGAACCATATATGTTGGAGGTGCGCGCATATTCCCCATTGAATATGGGAGGTCTGCAAGCTGGTTCAAAACAGTATATGGGCCCGTGTTTGTTTTGATGGCAATTTTTTAAATTCTGACAAATAGCCTGTAGTTTACCTGGCAACTGTAAAGTAAAGATGGGTTAATTTGATCTTCAGTCCAATGCAAAGGGTGACTGAGAAGCATCCTGGGAGGTTTTTCAAATTTCAGTTGAGGCTGATCAGTTCCTTTTGAATTGCAAAGAAATCTTGTATTGCCATGTTTAACATATTACAAGGTGTCCCAAGTTGCCGACTATAAAAGAATGGTTTGTTGCTGTAACATAGGTTTTTAAATTGCAGAGCAGTATGCACCATGCTTTGTAGATGAAGAGAGCTGAGAACTGGCCTGGTAGAGCCAATGGCAGCCTGTGCCCTTTTATTGTTGGTACCAAATAGTACGTCAAATGTTAATAAGTGTTTAGTTTGCTGCTATAAACGAAACATCAACAGGGGGAAAAGGTGAAGATTGTTGATGCTTGTCCAGGAATGGAACTGGCAGTTTTGCTGCTACAGGCAGCACTGAACCTACTACCAGACCTCTCCAGTTACAGCCTGAATCCCAATCCTTTGAAATCTATGGACGTCTTCGTTGACTTCAGTGGCCTTCAGACCAGGCCCATAAAATGTAGCCCTTTAATGGGAGTTGGTTCAGAATAGATCAGATAAAAATGCATTCCAGTACAGAGGGCCAAAGCAGAAACAAGCAACACTCAAGATTATCTTTATTAGCTGTAGCATTTATTTTTTAATTTGAAATCTTTAATTGGTGCACAGAGCTCTCTGCTCTGGGGGTGAATGACATCCATAGCCTGTATGTAGGGATCTCCATAAATCACACTGGAAGTACCACCCGCCCCCCCGCATCTCCTTTAATATTTTCATTTTGCTGCTTACCGCCACCCATCCCTGCCCCTGATTGGTGGAGGGGCTTCGCCGGCTGGACTGTTTGCCACTGATTTGCCAGGGAAGTGAAAACCTCTGCCAACTGGGGGAGGGCAGTTTGGGGAGGTGAGGGGGGAGCAGCAAAATGAAAAACAAAGGACCTACTGCAAGTGGCATTTCTGGTACTGTTTATGGACATCCCGATCTGGACGTACAGAAAGCAGAGTGTGCAGTTTCCTTGTGGTACATTGCACCTCTGTCAACTGCTTAGGAGTCCTTACAAGTAAATGGTGGAAACCAATTCAAAGGATGTGGTTCCAATTTGCAAAGGAAATGTGTGGTGAAACAGAAACTTGTTATTTATCCTTTTGTTAATTGGATTATAAAAAGTTGCAGAGAATTTTTTTCAAATCAACTTACACTATCAATTTATTTACAATGGATAGCTTCATAATGGCAAAGTACAGAACTCATACAGGAAAAGTTATTTGTATAGCAAATTCATGAGTAACATGGAGTGAACAAAAATATCCAGGTGCTATGTGCCTGAAGAGTTGCTCATTCTCAGAATTCAGCATCCTTTTCTGGCTAGTATCTATTTATAGAGCATGTGAATTATAACTTTCTGTTCTTGCAAGTGCTGTGGGTATGTTAGTAACTATTCAGTGATAGTGATACTATCTTAACATGTATGCATTGTGGTTACTTATTTTCTCAGATGAGCGATGTAGAAGCTGGAGGTGCCACAGTTTTCCCAGATTTTGGGGCTGCAATTTGGCCCCGGAAGGTAAAACTGACTTATCTTTGTTTCTCTCCCTCTTGTCTGTTAACCTGAACGTTGTTTATTCCGTACATTTAGCAAGCCAGCTAGCATGGACATAACAGTGGACTTAGGGGCTATCCTAGACTTTAGACCAGAGGGTGGCAAAATACGGCCTGTGGGCTGGATTCAGCCCACTGAGGGACTTTTTTTCCAACCCCTGGCAGGTCCCACAGTCCCATCTGGCCCAGGCGACATCTGACCCATGGTGCATATGGCCCTCCCGGGCGTGTAGTGGGACTGTGGTAACTCTACAGCTGGACTACATTTTCAGGTAGTCCGGGTGGCAGCAGTTCCTTCCAGCTGCTGCCGCCACTGGCCCCAGCTCCATGGTACTGGTGGGGACCTGTGCACACAACCCTAATCCTGACCCCAACCCAGCCCGTGCCTGCTCCAGACCAGCCAGGACCTATGCGCACAGCCCCAGCCATGACCTGCCCACAGTGAGTGGCAGTCAGGCAAAAGTTGTTGCTGGGCATGGGGGAAATACAGCCACCTCCCCCTTGCTGCTGCCAGGCCCTTCTAGCTGCAGCTGCCTGAAGCCTGCACCTGGGCTGCCCTGCAGCTCCTCTCTGCTGCTGTCACCACCACCTTTGGGCCATTCAGCAGGGCAGCGGTGGCATTGGAGAGGAGCCACAGGACAGCCCAAGCAGGGGCTCTGAGTGGCTGGAGCAAGAATGGCTCAGCAGCAGTGAGGGCGAGGTGGCCATTTTCCCCTGTGCCCAGCAGCAGCTTCTGCCCAGCTGCTGTTATTGCCACTGCTGCTCCGCATGGGTGGGCAGGTTTGGAGCAGGCATGGGGTGGGCTGGGGTCAAGGTTGTGCACATGGGTCCCAGCTCAGCTGGTCCAGAGCTGCTCCACTCTGCTGGAGCTGGTGCAGGATGGGCTGGGGCTGTGCACTCCGATGCTGCTGGCCATGGCAGAGAGGAGCTGCAGTACATGTGGGCTCCAGGCTGTTACGAGAAGGGGAGGGTACTGACCAGCCCATGACAGTTCCCTGCGTGGCCTGCCAGCCCAAATAATTGCCTGCCCCTGCTGTAGACTTATGTGATGCTGTATAGAGACAAGGATCCCTAATTTTGAGTAACTAGTCTTTTGCTGTACACAGTCCAAACACTGCATAGATCTGCTCCTTTAACAAAAAGGGAATTGCATGCAGGTCAGCTTACTCTGCTCAAAACACAGAAAATGCTTATCTCCTCTTTCCTGGGGACTTCCTTTCATTTAAATCCAAACAAATATATACTTCAGCGTGAGCTACTTTAGCAAGGCACTACTTCAGATTTTTCTGTTCCAGGACCCCTTGTTACCTGTTCTTAGTTCTTGGTGACTTAAACATTCCCAACTCATTGACACTCTTGAGTTTATAATTCCTGAGTTCTCATATCAGCCAGTACAATGGCTCTTTATGCTGGGTCATAGCACAATCATAGGAATAAACCAGAAAAAATTTAGATGAGCAGAGAGAGGTGAAGCGGATCCTTAATTTGGGATTAAAACCTATTTTGTACCCCTGCCAGCAGTGAACTTTTAAGTAACTAAGTGCCAGATACACTTGCATATTTTATGTCTGCAGGCCTTTGGAAGCATTCTGAAATCCTACATTGCATTTCATTTAATACAAGCTTACTTTCACTTTTCAGGGTACAGCAGTGTTCTGGTATAATCTTTTCAGAAGTGGCGAGGGTGATTATAGAACAAGGCATGCAGCTTGTCCAGTACTAGTTGGGTGTAAATGGGGTAAGTAATTGTTCTCTAGTTGACTTCAGTAGTTTAAAAAAAAAAAAGAGATTTTTATGAAGATATATTAAAAAAAAATATGCTGAATGTCTTGTACAGGAGTTCTGTAATGCTGGTCTTGCCATGCAGGACTCCACTATGCATCATAAATACAAATGACATCATCAGTGTGGCATAACATTTTAGATGCAATATTGCCTTTGATCTCAATTATTGCATTTACTACTCGGTGTCCTTCGAGTCATTTTAACCTTATTGACATCCCAAAGGAAAGGAAATTCTGCTATTTCAGGGTGATATATCTCCTTCAAGTGCCAACTTGAAAATCCAGGGTGGTTAGAGATCAGGGTCCTGTTCCTACAAAACTGTACTCATGGACTTCATCTTAAATAGAATAGTTTACCTGAAGTCAAGATGAGTGCTCCTAAAATTAGAGCCAAATTCTTTTTTAAACAGATACTTTCTTGGCTGCAGCCCCGGGAAATGTGCTTAATTTATTGACCTGATGTTCTGGAAAGCAACAGTGTGGTTGGTTGAGTAGTATCTGATCTACTTTTGCTGTGCTGGCACTTCCAGAACTTTCAGGTGTAATAAAGAAAGTGAAGATGAAACAACATAAAAAGAGGAGCATTTTCTGCGGTGCAGTTAGGATTGCTCTGGTCTGTTCAGACTGCCATACATAAAGCAGTTAGAATTCTCCCTGTACCCTGGCATGGTTAACTTCATCCTTGCCCTGGAATATTTTTTCCACCCTCTGATTGGAATAGATGATATTTATGCTATGTTGTAGAAGCAAATAGATGCAGATGCTGTTAGACAAACTAAGTTAAATTCTATAGTTAGGCCTTAGATGGTTATGTTTGTGACCTTGGAAATGATGGCCATATATCTTTTTGGGAAGAAAGGTGCGTCTTAGCTACATAGAAATAGCTAGTTTCTCTCCCATCTTAGCATGGGCATCGTCTGCTCTCCCATCGTAGCATGGCCATTTCAGGGTGTGGCAGGGACCTTGCCGGAGCAGACTGCACTGGAGAGTGCTCCCGGGCTTGGTGGAATGATACTTGGGGGGATGTTCCTTGTGCTGCTCCAAGTTGTTCGGATTTGGAGAAGTACCTTTCTCCTTGCTCCCTGAGTCATCCCATCCCTTGTGAGGAAGGGGAGGAGGAGGAGCATAGCATCCAACTCGCCCCCCTTGCTTTGTTAATCCAGACACGGGTTTTACTTCCTTGTTTTGCAGTTTCAAACAAGTGGTTCCATGAAAGAGGGAATGAATTTTTAAGACCTTGTGGCAGAACAGAAGTCGACTGAAAACCACCTGGCTATGCATTTTTCTGTTTGTCTGTCTTCTCTTCTCTCGTTTGTTCTTCCAGTTCATTTCTAAGAAATGATCCATCTTCTATTATCAATGAACCCTGGCACTTTTTAAAAAAGAAAAATGTCTAACATCTTTAAGCGAAAGAAGCAACAGGCCTTGTCTACTTGCAGAGTTTGCTGACTGGTATTCTCCCCCATCCCTGTCTTCCCTTGATTCCCATCCTGACCTTTTTTTCCCCATGCTCCCAATTTCTTTCCTCTGTAACAGCAGTACAAACAATGCTCTTTGGTGACTGAATGCATTTGAATTCCTGGTCTTGTGCCTTTCGTACCTCAGATGATTTGGATGTTAAATATTTCATCGAACCAAAGTTTTAAAAAAATGGTTTTTTTGTGTGTACATGTTGATTTTATTGTATTTCTATGGATTGCAAGTTTTACCACAAAAATAAATGGCCTTTCAAAAGAAGTAGTGCTTTTACTGTCTGCGTGACTTTAACGACTGTATCAGTATTTATCTCTGTGGCTGCCTGGAGATATGGGCATGGATTGTTAACTTGGTTTGGAGATGTTGATGTTCAGATTTGGGCTAGAGCCCCAGCTGGAGCTCTTTCAGCAGGGTGCACTGACCCTGCATCTTCTGGGGGGAGGAGTTGAGGGTACTCAGTGCCATATCAAAAGAACTTCTAATGCATACCCTGAAAAGTAATCTGCTAGGCCAAGGGAGAAAATAGCTTGCAGTAGCTGGAAATCTGTCCCAAAATGTGTAGTGCTTCCCTAATGTCATTCTTAATCTGTGTTGGGGCCCCACCTAGAAGCCCTGCTTGTAGAGTAGGAGTTAATGGTCAAAGAATTTGCTGTATTGTAAACTGGCTGGAGTGTTGCCTCTAACTGACTTGGTATCAAAATGGATGTGTAGCCTGAGTAAGGACCTCAGTAAGTAGGCCAGAGCTTCCTCTACTTAAATAAAGCTTTTCATTTTTACTTGGAAAAATAATGAATTCATCATCTTCTTTATGACTTTCTAAAGTCCCTGGAGAATAACTGTATCTGACAGTCTCTTGTCCATATTGTTCCAATTAAAAAAGGTGAAGGCTACACCCCAAAATACTAAACCATTCCTTCCCTGAGGGTAGGCACTTCCTTTGTACAATACTTTGTTCTTAACTGCAGGTGAAGGACTTGGAGTTCAAAGGTGCAGCTGGCAAGCATAACTTAAGCACATGCTTGGATAGATTTGAGCATATTTTCCATCTTGTCCTTTATGATGACTTTGAGGTAGGCATGAATTCTAACCAGGCACACAGTAAGTCAGATTTCCTTTTGCCCTGGGTCTTCTATGATTTGGAGATGGACAATGAGTATAAAGTAAGTTCAAGGACTTGGTCATATGACTATATACAGAGCAGGGCATCAGGCCCATTACCTATATCCATTATGGTCGGAGAAGGAAGGTGAGCATGTTCATAACACAGACCCATTGGTGAGAATTTATGGAGGAGAAATGGACAAATGTTGAAGATGTTAAGAAATATGGAGTTGGATGACTGCATTGCGTGCATACCGTGTGTCAAGGGAGGGTTGATTTGAGTGGAAGTTGTGTTGGCTAATACTGGTATAAACATGAAGAGAGAACTAACGATTTGAGGTGAGCTGTCTAGTGAATGGCACAGTACTTTAAGCAATAATCCATGCTTTTAAAAAAATTGAGTTAATGGTAATGATATTGACATGTGGAATGGTCTTTGATGGAATAAGTGAAAGAAAATTCAATTAACTTGATGTCTAATGACAACCATAATATCCTAATAAGATGAACGTTGATTTCCTTGATTTTTCCATCCCTTGTCCCTTTTTTATAGGGTAAGTCCTAGAATGGACTAAAACTTGGAATAGTTACTGGTAGGAATTCTCTTGGCAGCTGAGAGCAATATGCCCGATACACTGCTGTATTAGGTTTCATCTATTGTTCAGTGAATGCCACAAGAAAGAACTCAAGTAAACATTAAAGCAGAATTCATGCCAACTGTGGCCATGATGCAGCAAGGAATATAAAGCAGGTGCCTAAATTAGAGCATTTCAGTATTTCCATGTGCTTTTCTTAGGCACATGTTGAATAGAAGCATATACAAGGTACTCCTGTAAAGTCTTACTTCCAATACAAGAAGCAAATACACAGTTAAAAAATTATCTAAGGCTGAAAAATTATCTAAATGGAACTGATAAGTCATTGTGGACAACAGTGAATCACGGGTGAAGAGGAAGTGCATTACATCATATTTATTTACAAATTATTCAAATAGCTGTAATAAAATAATTTGCAAGCTTATTCATAGAAAGATTAATTCTGCATTTGAAGTTTTTAAAAGTGCTTTTCACAGTTTCTGTTTTTACCAAACAGAGAAACCAATTTGTCTAGCTAAGACGTAGAAAAACAATGCAACTTGTCTGAGGTTACTTAACGAGCTCAGCATTCATAAACAGAGCCCCAGCCTACCTGACTGCAGATGCAAATGCAGGCAATTTAACCTGCAGTTCGCTTTGTACAGAGCACTGTGGGTTGCAGCTCAATAGCTCGTTTTCTTTCCCCTTATTTGTCCTGAGTTGCCATGAATTCTTGTGGGTTCTGGTTGGCTGTTGAGAGGACTGCATCACTGAGTTCTAGTTATGTTAGTAAAATCTACATGTGCACCAAAAGCACAAAAAGATGAGTGCAGCATGTGGTAGAAGCATTTGGATGGGCCAAATCCACAACCTCACTTGAGAACTCAGTTGAAAACACTAATTTATTAAAATGTCTATCATCGCAATGATTAGGCACTGAGGCGGAGTACAGACAATCAAAAAGTCCTAAGCTGAATCTATTCAGTCTAGTTTATCTATTCAACCCCACCCCTGTGACCAGGAGAGAAGTCCCTCCAAGCCAGGGGTAGGCCAGGTCCCCCAGCCTCAGAGGAGTTCCCTGGCCCTGGCAGGTTGCCTCTAGTGCAGAGGTGATTCCCCCTCCCCATTGCCAGACTTAATATTAGACTTCAGACTTCAGGGTGGGAGTGAGGAAATGCATCCCACCCCAGCCCAGCACTGGACCTGCAGCCAGGGTCTCCCCTGCCTCCCCCTTTTACTTCCCCTGCCTGCTGGGAGCCGGGCTTGATTCCACCAGCCACACCGCCCTCCTCCACCTCCAGGCTGGCACTGGACTCCCAGCCAGGTGCTGTCTGGGCAGAGGGATGGGTGGGAGAGCCTGCAGTGGGGGTTTTACTCCTCCTCCCCCCTGAGCTGGGAGCTGGGCTTGAGTCTACCAGCTGTGCCCCCTCCTCAGCCTGTGCAGGAGGGTGTGTGACTCGGGTCCTCAAGCCTAGCTCTGGGGTGGATTCAGTCCCTGCTGCATGTTCTCCCCCCTGCACTGGGCAACACCTGGCTGGGGGTCGAGTGCTGGACCTGGGGGATGGGCCCCCCCCCCAGGTCCAAGGAGTGATAGTGTTTGGGCTAGGAACAGAAGGGGGGGAGCAGAACCTGCTCCACGGGAGCAAACGGCACAGTCTAGGGCTGCAAAGCATCCTGGGATGTTGGGGGACTGTGGATTAATTGGAATCTGGGACAGGAGCTTCATAAAGTGGTTTGACTTAAATCTGTTAAATCTGATACTACATCCAACCTGGTTTATCTTAAATCGGTTTGGGCCATTTTGAAAGCAGTTTGAGGACACTGAACTTTCTGTTCTGTTACAGGTTTAAACTGGTTTCTAATCACTTTTAAACCGATTTATGTGCATCTACAGTCCTTAACCCAAGAGATCAGGCTAGAACTCAGCCAAGTGTCCCACCATCCCAACCACCTGCTGCTGCTTTATTTTCTCCCCCCCTAGTTAAAAGTTGAACAGTGACTGACCAATCCTTTTACCGGCATCCCATGTCTCTTGCAGCGATGGTGCTGTGAGCTTGTCTTGGAAATTGCTTAAATCCTTGCATGTCTCTCTGTGTTGTATACCATGTTCCCTCTCGGTAATGTGATTTCTAAAGTATTGATCTGTTAAGCCTGGAAATGAATTTGCAGAAAACACCAGGATGGCTCCATCAAACTCCTGAGCGTCCAGTAAATTTGCTGAAACCTGTGCGTAGCTTGTTAGAGTGCATCCTTCATTCTGCTTCATAGTTTTATCCAAGACTGACAGATCATGGCAGCAAACCTGAAAATCAACCTGCAAGACATGGTTTTCCAACCTAAAAGTGAGAAGCTTTGCGTGTCTTGGAATTAGCAAAGCCTTGCATTACACAGGGAGAGGAGAGTCCTTATCTGTGGGTTACAGGTATGGTGATTGACTTTGTATGTCTTTTAACCTGACAATTCTCTCTTTAATGTACTACTTGTGCTTCTGAATTTCTCAGGGAGAAGTATTTTAAATGCAGGAATTTTTTTCCAAATAACATTTGTTGGGAAATATTTGGTTGTAAATTTTTTTTCTTATAATTCAATTTTTATCAAGTTTTATGAAGCAGTTTTAAGCCTGGATTTTAGATCAAGTTCATTTTATTTAACTAATTTGGGTGACACTCAACTGATTTTTAAATGGTGAAGTTAAATGAACATTTAGACATAAAATGACAAGATACTTTGCGTTGTCTCATACGCTTTTAAACCAGTATGGACTTTTAGAGCGTTCTATCGATTATGTATAATAATGTTAGAATTTTACAGTAGAATTGATATCGCAAACATGGCAATATAATTTACCAGAGAATAGTTAGGATTAATTCCAATTATTCACTATTTTTCCTCTGGAAATATTTTTGGATCCTATCAAATTTTACTGGTAAATTCTTTAAATTCTTCATCAACCTCCTTACATTAAGATGAAAGGCGCTTGTCTTTATGCACTATTTATTTTTTTCTTTAAATTAGTGGGAGGGTATGCTGTCCCAATGTCATTTTAAAAATGATTATGGGAATTTTATCATCTTGTTTGAGAATAAAAACAAATATTTTCAGTAACTTCACCAGTGGTAATTTCCCGTCAGAACACTCTCCACCCTTTAGAAGATAAGTTGCAATTAAAAGCTTTATCTAGTGTTTCCATCAGCCTAAAGTGTGTGAAGATGTACTACAAGATAATGGACACAGAACAAAAATAACTCAAAAAACCCCTGACTTAAATGTTCAAAAGTCTGATAACTTGAGTGAAATCACATGCATTTATTTAAACCTCTCCCAATATTTTTATATTTTTCAGCTTTATGCTGAGTTGGGCAAAGAGGGGAAAGGAGGGACGACATTCAAGGTTGGTTGGTTGGATTTATATCCTGCCGTACCCAAAAGGATTAGACCAGCTTAAAATAAACACCACAGACAGGATTCCCAAAACACCTCCCACCACCCCAAACCTGAGAGCTTTGACCTTCCCCTACCTCCCAGACACCCACGCAGGCGAACCCCTTGGTTTCGTTGTTCGTGTTGCACTGCTTTCAGCATGTGAAACT